ACTTTGAACTTTAAAGATATAAGTTCCATATATTTTTTTATTATGTGCACAAACTGCCAATAACGAACGAACGCAAGCCGCATGACACAAATGCTCTGAGACAATCATTATGATTTGGGATGGCTCCAGGTTGGTACCTCTGCATCGAGTGACATCTTTGCTTAAAATTTAAAAACCTCAATAAATGTGCATCTACAACTGATTTAGTAGGGGTGTCCAGATACAGCTTTTTCACTTCGGTTACAACACTGAGATTGACCCAATACAATATTTGAACAAATCCTGTTTATTACTTTTTTGTATTGTGGTATTTTAAAAAGTCTTGATCAGGTTAAACAGTAAACAACAGTCAACAGCAGTAAGTTTGAGAAAGACTGGTCCCATTCATTATTAACCAATGGTTACATTTTTAAAACTTAAACACAAGAATATTTTACAATAAATRAATAGTAAACTAGAAAACCCTGAAAAATTGCCTCAATAATTACAATAAAACAAAACATACTTTTAAAGTGTGCAATAACTAATCAAGGTCACTTCAGTTATTTATGCTGGATCCAGGTGCCRCTGGATAGAAATCCTGAGCGGACTGCCTATTTCAGAGACTTTAGATCCGATGTTCATTTTTTGGCTAATATCGGACCAATAGTCGATATTGATATCRGATTGGGACACCCATACTGATTAGCTTTTGGAATTAATCCAGTTCAAGATGGCTKCCAAAATTGATGACCATAACCAAACCAACACAAAAAAGGCTATAACGCACTCAGTTTTACAGATAATGCAGTAAAACTMAATCACATCATGCTTTGATTGTAATAATGTACTGTAAAATAATGTGAAATTGCATAAATTATTTTTCAAGGTTGAACCAAAGTGGTCCAAAACTCAAGCGTGAACACCAGCAGGCAATGTACAGTACATTCACTGAAGAAACTCCAGAACTTTTTTTTCCATTGTTGTATCTCCAAACAGTTTTTTTAGGACTTATAGATTTGTTAGGTGTTGATGCAAATTAAAAGTCATCTGGCATCAACAGCCTGAAAGAAACAAGTCCGCCTTTGATGCCCCTCTGAGCCCCCAAGCAAGGTAGTATCAGAGCCGGGCCCAAGGCAGGCAGACCGACTTCTTAAAAAGCAACCCGCGGTTCAGAAAATGATAATGAGCTGATGACATCAGTGAGCAAGCACAGKATTAATCAACAAACAGATTTATTACAGAGGGAGTATTAAAGATGAAACAACAACTTTTTGTAGTTAGTTTAAAAAGTATTGAACCAGGATTGCTAAAGTAAGTTAATTCAGTTGTTTGATAYGAGGCRGACGTCYGTCGCACAATAAATACRTCGTGGTCCACTTCAGCTGAGCTGAGATCTGCTCCATGCCTCTTTGGGTTCTGTGCTGCTGGGTTCATTTTGCGTACATGCAAGCGAAACGTGGCCGCCTTCACTTGCGATTTATGAATGACCCGAGGGAGCTTAAAGCCGGGCTGGTCTGTGTAGTGATTTCGCAGAACTGTCTTGTGAAAGAGGTTATTATAATTTTACTTCCACACAAGCTGTTGATGCATTTAGATTTCACTTTAGAACTTCTTACCACTGATATAGTTTTATTTTATTTGTGAAAACAACAAAAATCACGAGTTCTAACAGCAGAGTTGTAGTAAAAACTCTATTTCTTTTTAAAATCGTTAAATGGGAAACTAATAGTGAAAATGCTTTCTGTAATAATCTGAATAGCTGTGAGGTCTGAACATGCTTCTCTCTGTTAATTCCTCCTCCCTCTGGGTTTATTCATTTGAGATTAACTGACTTCTGACTGGAGCCATGCTTTACTGAAAGATCCAAACATGTGACCATGGTGGGACTGCTTATGTTTAATAAGAATGCGAGAGGTGTTTCCAAACAGGTGAAACTTTTGTATAAAACTAMTTTTTACTGCAAAACARTGATGCAACATGTCCAACAAATTAAATACTTCAAAACTTTTAATTAAGGGAACAGTATTGTACCAYTGTAACACTAGTGTTGATGAAAGTTATTCAACAGATAAGAATTATTGCTACAACAGGGAGRTATGTTAGGCCTGTACATAATAAATACAGAATAGTCCAACATYTGTGATTTGTGCAGAGACAATGTTTTGTTGTATCAAAGTTTGAAATTTGTGGTTTTTTTTTATATTTTCAGGAAGCATGCTGTGCATATGTGCTAATGGTGACTGCCGTCTACTGGGTGTCCGAGGCTGTCCCTTTGGGTGCTGCTGCTCTGGTTCCAGCTTTCCTCTACCCACTTTTTGGAGTACTCAAATCAAGTGAGGTAAGTCTGTTAAAGAGACTGTCCAGAGTTTTTACTTTCTGAGAAAGAAGTCTTTAATGCCAACAAAACTAAAGATCTGGAAGCAGTCTCTGTAAAATCACCACCTGAGTGTAGTGAAGGGGTTTGACTAACCCCACGACCAATGGGGYCCGTGTTGCCTTGGACATTAACTCCTGACAAGGTCTTGACTTCCAGGGTCAGACTAAAACTACGTTGGAAACAAARCATCCACAATGAAAGAATATCTCAAGAAATGGATCCCCTTGTCCCAAACACAGGGTTCCCACGGGTCCTTGAAACCCTTGAAAGTTTGTGAATTTGAAAAAATTGATCTCAAGGCCCTGGAAAGTTTGTGGAAACAGCCAAAAGTTGCACTTGTCCTTGAAAGTACTTGAATGTTTTTTTGAGGATTGAAATTCTCTATTCACATGACTGATTTTCATC